TGGTAGCTCTCAGAGAGACTGATTCCATCAACAGCTGCAAAATATCAGAGTACTAAAAGTGTAATGTTGCGCATGGATGGTGTCCCTATTTGTACTTTTAGTGTGCATTGTCGAGGCCACATTTGAAGCCTTTTGTTACGGCTTATTAATAGTAATGAGGCAATTGGTTGAACTATTAAATAGTGTACTGAGTACTATCTGTGCTCAGAGTCAAGTGCTTTAACATATTTAAAAATAACTAAAGTACCAGAAAACTATAAAACAAAACAATCAACCATTATCATCACCAAGTTATCTAATTTATTCACTAATATTTGTGACATTTAAAGTAACTTTTCTTTTGTTGAGTCTTTTTATCTCTTGCATAGTTATCTCTTAGAAAGTTCATTTGTTGAGTCTTTTTATCTCTTGCAAAGTTCTTTTTATTGAGTCTTTTTATCTCTTGCAAAGTTCACCAGACCTTCTTGCTCTTTGTGAGACTTATTTGAGTTCGACTGTCTTATCTTGTGAAGGTTATCTTCCTTTATTTTTTAAATACTCAAATAGTCGCATGCTTTGCCTAGGTATTTACATTTGTAAAAATTCACCCATTTTTTGGATTGAATCCATAGACTATTCTTTTATATGCTTTCGTTTAGCATCACTTCACTCTATTACTTTTCTCATTGTTCTATATCGCTCTCCTTCATCTCAAGACTGCATTATTTTTGATGTCATTTCTGATCAAATTGAACAAGCCCTCTCTTTTTATTTATCAGCCAATATTGCTGTTGTTAATGACTTTAATGCTCATCACACTGAATGACTAGGCCCTAGTGTCAGTGACTCTGCAGGCGTTAAGGCCAACAACTTTTGCCTTTCCTAATCTCTAACTCAAATACTTAACTTTCCAACTCACTTTCTAGACAACCTGATTACCTCAATCTTTTTCATCATCAGAATCACCTTATCATTGTACCTCTTACAACTACCTTAATTCTTACATAACTTTTTGGATTCAGGCTGGCATGGAGTCTTTCATTCCTTCTCGACTATTTCAAACTCTATTTTGTATAACGCCAAAGCCAGCTATTATCAGGTCACAAAATTTTGTATTTTATCTCAAAAATTAATTCTCGTGACTTCTGGAGAATCTTAAACAGTACCTACAATAAGGGCAAATTGATTGTTCCACCTCTTTTGCATGGTTCAGATTTTGTCAACTCACCTAAAGGCAAAGCTGAATTGTTTGCTAAGAATTTTTCATCAATATCATCTCTTGATTCTACTTGTTGCATTCTACCTAATATAGCTAACAAACAGGTTGATATATTGCTATCACTCCAGGTCTGTATTAAAAGTGATTTTCTGTTTAGATTTTTCTATAGCTTGTGGCCTGGACAACATACCTGTTATAGTCTTGAAGAAGTGTTTTTCAGAGTTGTTATCTATACTTTCAAAACTGTTTAACAAGTGCTTATCAGAGTCTTGTTTTCCAGCCAGCTAAAAGGTGGCATCTGTTATCCCTATTTTCGAAAACTCTGAAGAGCAATCTGACTCATCTAACTACCGCCCCATTACTCTTCTTCCTATCATTAGTAAGGATTTTTGAGTTTTATATTGACAAATACTTAACTTCTCATCTTAAATCTAATAACTTACTTTCTGATTATCAATAATAATAATAATCAGAAAGTAAGTTATAATCTGTACAATAGTCGATCTTCTTGTTCTATAGCTGATTTGCTAACAGAAATAACCAATAGACTTTATTGTGCATTAAATAGATGTAGAGAGGTTAAGGCTATTGCTCTTGATATTTCTAAAGCTTTTGATAAAGTTTGGCATGCTTGTTTTCTCCATAAGCTTTCTTCTTACTGTGTATCAGGTAACATCTTTAAGATTATTGACTCCTTCCTTACCAATCGTAGTATAAAAATTGTCCTCGATGGACAGCACTTCTCTTCATATCCTGTTACTTCAGGGGTTCCTCAAGATTCTATCCTTGCCCTATACTCTTTTTAATTTACATTAATGATCTTTCAGATATTCTCACATCTAAGGTGGCATTGTTCACTGACGATACTACAATTTATTCTTGTCTTGATATGAACGCCAACATTCTCTGATTGTTTGGAGCAGGCATTTGAGCTTGAAAAAGATCTCACTTCTGCAACAGCATAGGGTTCTCAGTGGCTGGTGAACTTTAACTAAGATAAAACTCAGCTATTCGTTATTGCAATAATCTAGATCTTCCTATATTTATGAACAATAATGTACTTGATAAGTCATCTAACCTTCATATTCTAGGATTAACTCTATATCAAATCCATTGAAACCATATATCAAATCGATTGCAAAATTAGCATCTGCTAAGGTTGCATTTCTTTACTGTGCTTGCCACTTTCTTACTTGGGATTTTATTCTTTATCTCTAAAAATCTCATATCTGTCCTTGTATGGAATACTGTTGCTATACCTGGGGCAGATCTTCCAATGATGTCCTTTCTTTTTAGACAAGGTGCAAATGCGCATCGTAAACATAGTTGGACCTACTCTTGCAGGCAACCTCTTACCATTATCACATCATCTTAATGTTGCTTCTCTTTCTCTTTTCTATTCTATAATTTTATACTCAATACTATATTGGGCACTGCTTTAAAGAGCTAGCGTTTCTTGTGCCTTATATGAAAATTCATTCTCATATTACTCTCCATTCTATTAAGTTTTTACTGTGACTACTCCTAAGTGCCCTAAAAATTCTTATTTGCTCAGTTTTTTTCCATGAACATCAGCTCTTCGCAATTCGCTTCCTTTATCTTGCTTTTCTGATTCATAAAGTTTGCAATATGTTGATATATATATATATATATATATATATATATATATATATATATATATATATATATATATATATATATATATATATATATATAATATATATATATATATGTATATATATATATATATATATATATATATATATATATATATATATATACAAATAGTACATATATACTATAATATATATATATATATATATATATATATATATATATATATATATATATATATATATATATATATATATAATATATACATATAGGCTTCAGTATATACATGAACTGACAAAAATGCAGAACATTCAAGAAAGCCTAAAGAAGTCTAGATCAACTAGTAATTTATTGTCATTAACAGATATGTTGATACACATCATTGTTATAACTTTTAGAAAAAATAAAGAAATAATGTCCAAACAAAGTGTAAACATTGTTTTTGGGCACAAGTATTAGTGTATTCAAACTTGATGTTTGTTTTTCAATAAAATTTAGCTAAGTGTAATGTAAATGTTCTTTTCAATTTTTGTGGAAATTCTTAACAAGTGTTGCAAATATACTTTTAAGTATATTAAAACTTGGTCATAGTGATATAACAGTATAACAGTTAATTATTTTAAAACTTGGGCATAGTGATATAAAAGTCTAACAGTTAAATATTTTAAAACTTGGTCATAGTGATATAACAGTATAACAGCTAAATATTTTAAAACTTGGTCATAGTGATATAACAGTAAAACAGTTTGATTAAGTAGCTATACCATAAAATTGCCTAAGTTTGATCATAATGTAACTTTAGTCATTTAAGAAAAAATAAAAAAAAAGCATGCTAAACTCAAATTTTACAATTTTTTTTTTCTCAAATAATATTTGTAATTAGTTTGTAAATATGAACCTATAAAAAAAAATTAATGTTTATTTGCAACCTGCTGAAATATTTCTTGAGCAAAACAACAATTTGAAAAAACGCATACTATTAAAATCTATAATAAGAAAATTATTAAAATAAATGATCTAATTTAATCTTAGTATTATTAAGAATCACCAAACTATTTATATTTACAATTATATTTACAAAAAAAAAATTATTATTATTTTTTAAAAATTTCTTATCTTTTTTTTAAAAAATTAGTGAAATTTTAAAATACTCTAATTTCGGTCAATCACAAATAAACAACGAAGGAGAGAATAATCAGTAATATTGTGAAATGGTAATAATTGTTGCGAATATAAATTTTACCGGTAACTCTATCTGTAAACTTAACAGTAAATTTTGACAGTTTTAAAATGGATACACACCATGATATTTTATTTGAATAAAAATTTGTTCATAATTTCAAAAATAAATGACAGTTCTTTGAGTTCTAAAAAATGTCAAGCTTGTGACATTTTTTTGGAGATAAAATTACAGCTTAATGACAATTATGGATACGCTGCAAATCCTGTGACAATTGGTTGTGTGGATTTTTGGCCAACGATACATGCAAGAATTGACAATAAACATACAAAGCTCATTCAAAGCAAAGTAGTGTTTTTTTGTTAATTGAAAAACCTTTTTAAATTAGTTGAAAAATATTTTTCAAACTTTATTAACCAGTGACGTAGCAAATATGATAATGGCAAAAGTAATAAAACAGTTGACTAATAAAAATAAAAATTAAAAACACTAATAATTATATTTAAAAAGACCTTTTTTATGTGCTCCTTCTTGTTTTACTTGGTGCCCCAAAAAACTTTTTTTTTTGAGCCTGGGGCGAGGCCCTCCTTAGTTACTGGTATTACCTGAATTTATATCATAATTTTACAATAAAACAACATTTAAAAATTAGTTTTCATTAATTGCAACATTAAGTTTGTGATACGTTATTAGTATTCATATAGTTGCCGAACTTATGAGATAGTATTGAAAGTTCGGTCAAAGTAGATGTTTTTATTTTAAACAAAACATGAGTACTAGGTTTTATTTTTCAATTTTTTATTTTTACAATATCAATTATCAATATAATTTTCTGTATGTTTCAGGAAAAAAATTTATATTTTTTTATTTATGCATGATAAATAAATGTTCAAAGCTGAAGTGACCGAACTTAGGTGATTTTACGTTATATCTAAAAACCCCACACATTTCAAAATAATATGAAAAATTTGTAAGATAAAAAAATAGAAATAATAAATAGAAACTCACTTTGATAGCAGTCCTTGAAAATAATTTCCCAATACCTTAATGAGAAAAACTTTTTAAAGCTAAAAAATAGCATTTCAAAAAAACATTATCTAACAACACAAAAATTACAAAAAGCATAACATTTAATTATGCAACTCCACAACAAAGCAATTACATAACAGAAAGCAATTTCACAATTGTTTGGATCATTTACATATAAATAAAGCCATAAATAATTCAAAGATATATAATATGTTAACACAATATTATTAATGATGAAGATAGATAATATGTTAATGATAATAATTAAAAAAAAAAATTGCCAAAGAGAAATAAAAAAAATATTAAATATAAACTAATTGCTAAATTATCTTGCAAGATTGAGAATTTTTTCAAGTGATAAAAGAGTTGAAAAATAAAAATTTTAAATTTAATGACCAATAAAATCCAATGCTATACAAAATTTAAGGAGAAAAGTTGATGTTTTAACATTTTAAATGCAATAAAAAATGTACTTTCAGATAACAAAGCTGTTGAATAAAAAAAAAAATAATCACAGTCTTTTTTTTTCCGTATAAAATTCTTTTTTTGCACAGAAAAATTTTTTAGTGTCTTTAAAAATTGAAAAGAAACCATGCTAAAGCAGTTAAAAGTTGTTATAAGCGCGCTCAACTTTTTTTTTAAACAATTTAATAGTGTCATTTTTTTTAAAGTGAGCAACATTTAAAGAAAACAAAATTAAATAGTATTTTTGACATTAATATATATATATATATATATATATATATATATATATATATATATATATACATATATATATATATATATATATATATATATATATATATATATATATATATATATATATATATATATATATATATATATATATATATATATATATATATATGTATATAAATATATATATATATATATATATATATATATATATATATATATATATATATATATATATATGTATATATATATATATATGATATATATATATATATATATATATATATATATATATATATATATATATATATATACACATATATATATATATATATATATATATATACACATATATATATATATATATATATATATATATATATATATATATATATATATATATCAAGCCTTCCTGGAAAGGGCGTGCCAATCATCCATGTTTAAAGTAATTTTTTTTAAAACTCCTAAATGTTCCAAAAGCTTGTGAGCTAGTGCTTTGTTATTAGTTACTAACTGAACTTTTTTAAAGAAATGTTTGTGAGCCTATTTAAGACTTTTTTTAAGTTTTTAAATACATTTTTTTTAACAGAGTAATCATTATTTTTATTATCTCTATTTTGCATTTGAAATTGAGCATTATAAAAGAGACATGCACCAAATGCGGTAAATGCATTTATTAAAGAAACCATGTTATTCTTTCATTTAACTTATTCTGTCATTACAAAAATTATTAATCAAATAATATATTTTATAAATAAATAACAATTTATTTTCTTATTTTCTTATTATATAAGTATTGAGCAAAAAATGTCAAATATAGCAAAAACATTTTTAAAAGTGAAAAGATGTACAAAAATTAACAAAATTTCTCTTAGTTCTATCGTACATAGCAAATAAGTGAATAAATTGCATATCAAAACTTTTAATTTTTGTTAAATCATTATAAAAGAAAATGTTTTTGTCAACAAAGACTCTAAAAAAAGAATGCAAAAGTTGTAAAAATTAAAAAAAAAAAATTTTAATTATTTACTTTTTTTAATTGTTAAATTTTATAGTTTATTTAATTAAATTTGATATTTTGTTTAAATTGTTTAAGATTGTTATATTTTTCTTAGTAGATAAGTTAAGCTATTTGCAGCGAATTATTGAAATGTTTTTTTAAGTTAAAAGATGCAAACTGCCATGGTCAGTTTGTCTAAAAAAATTACTTTAAACATGGAAGAACAAGGCGTGCAGCCACACGCGCACTTTCTAGACTTACTTAAATAAACAATTTTATCTTCATACAACAGTATTAACGCATGCTAACAGAACTCTGAAGAATTTGAAAATTGTTGTTTTTAACCCTTCCTGTTATGTAGTTAAATCAATTGAAACACTTGTATTTTTAAAATATTTATTAAAAGAATTTAATACTACAGATCAAGCAAGTCAGGCCTTTAAAGGTCTCTTTTTTACAGTCTGATACAGATTTCTATGTTCTAGCACACAGCATAACAAAAATTGCTTTTGTTTTTCTTTTGCAGTGATCAAACCATGAAAACCTTTAATAAATTTCACTGCTCTTTTAGCTGCATCATTAACTGCACTTAAGGATAGATTTCTTCTTTTTGCTTCTATGTAGGCAACATCTTCATCCCACATTGAAACAGGTCTCTAGAGATATATCAATCAATTTTTAATCGAGAAAATAAATTTGTGCTCTTGAAAGAACCAAAATATAAGTGCTCGTTTATCCTTGGCGCTAATGTTAATCTGAGATTAGAACAAACATATCTTTAAAGGATAAATAGCTCTAGTCAGGAGGTTTGATTTTAATTTTTGTCTAATTATCACCTCCTAAAAAGGTAACATATAATTCAATCAATTCCAAATAATCATCACATACAATAGTATCTTACCGTTCTCAATTATAAAATGTCAACAATTCTTCAAATATTCTATTACTAAAACATTGTTTGATAATATTAGGGTATGTTTTAATAGCAGCCAGATTAATAGTTTTCCAGTTGTCTCTAAACTTTTTGAACATTGGGATATCAAGGCTGCTTGTGACTTGGTGAATTTTTGCTTCAAACACACATTTTAAAACCAATGTGTAAATGTGATAGTGACAAGCAAGAAGTATCAATTCCTTTTCTAGTTTTTGTTTCAAGAGTACACAAGATTTCTTTAATGGCCCTGTATTAGATGCTGTTGTGTCACAGCACATTTTTGTACTTTGTCATCAAGGTTCCAGTCATAAGTGCGTTTAACACAGCTTCAGCTTAATCTTGGCTTTCATCGATGCTGGTGTGTTGATCCTGATGTTCTTGGGTTTGCATCAAATCTTGTGTAGTAAGAGATAACAATAAACTTCAGAAACACATCTTTTTTTCTTTTAATATTAATTTTCTCTGACTTGCTCTTTTTTCTTTTTTGGCTAACTTTTTGTCTACAAAAAATTAGCGGAAAAAGAAGCTAAACACTCTGGATTAGTAGCTAAACAACTAAACACACTAATCCTCCTGGTTCCCTTTGGTTTTGTATTTTTATCTAATCCAAAGCATTAGCATGTGCTATATAAAATAATTATTTTGAAAGTCTTCCTTGCGGTACTTATAAATTTAGAAATTTTTTGCAACTCTCCAATGGTGAAGATCTGAAAAAAAAATTTTCTGCAGTAGCTCTGGTAAGGATTCTAGCTTTTTTCAAAAAATCTTGAATAACAAGATTTGCGTTTTCATTAACAGTCAAATTAAATTTTTAACTATTTACTATTTACAAAAATTTTAAATAGATATTTATTATCTTTTTACTAATATCAATTATTTTTAAATTGTCAAGATAACAATTAACTATTTTCAGTTATCAATTTTGTGTTATTGTAAAAACCGCTTTGACCTTATACACCCTTTTAACAAATGTGAGCAAGCGCAACTACTGAGAAACTACAGTCACAAATATCACTACTTGATGTAAATTCATTAGTCACAGTCACAAATATCACTACTTAATGTAAATTGAAGGAAGGTCAGGTTCTGCGACTCCGACTCCACAGCCCTGGCGGAAAGTAATTAAGTTTAAAAAACCACAAAAACACAAATTAAAAAACTACAATGTTTTTAAAAACATTCTGAATGTTTTTATTTTTTATTTTTTAAATAAAAACATTCTGAGTGTTTTTATTTTTATATTTTTACTGTAAAACATGCGTAGAGTAATGCTACATACATCTCATAGCCTGCTGCTACAAGGAAGTGCTGCTACATTGACTATCTAATTGGCTGCTGCTACAAGGGAGTGTTGCTACATTGACTATCTTAAAGCCTGACTGAGAATGGAGTGCTGCACCATCGACTGAGGGTTTGGTGGGGAAAGGCAGTCTATCAAAAAGAAAAAAAAGTTATTCTGGTCTTTAAAATAAACTTTTTTTAAAAAAAAAACCTAAATCTGACATTTTATGGAAAAAACTTAAAGACGACCAAGCAAGAGTATATATATATATATATATATATATATATATATATATATATATATATATATATATATATATATATATATATATATATATATATATATATATATATATATAATATATATATATATATTACGAAATCAAAACAAAATTAAACATAGTTTCACAACGACACAACAAATTAAGCTCCGATTACCAAAGATATATTAAAAATTATATACTTTAATATCATAAAATAAAAGCGTATGTTAATTTATTATTATAAAGAATAATATATTTGATTTATTTTTAATCTTGATATATATATCATTGCTGCTTTTATTTTAAGAGAATTTTTTTGAATATATTTTTTTCAATGGTGGGTATTAAATGGCAATTTTTAAAGTAATACAGAGATTTATGTTCAATGAAAAATCTCCATGGAAGAGAACCAATGATCTTCTACTTAATTATTTAAATTCTGCTCGAGGTCCTTTATGGACGAACCCTTACACCTTTACTTTATGTTGACCTTACACCATAATATAAATTGTGTCCTTAAAAGAAATATTTTAAAAATAGAAAATAGAAAAAGTTTGAAAATAGTAAACACGAGTTTATAAATTCTATATTTCATATTTATTGCGAGTTCATTTTCATAATTAATATTAATTTGCTTTAGACACAAATAGCATAGCATAATAAAGCTATAATTACAAAATCTCAGCAAAAACAACAACTAATGTTGTTTAATTACAAAAAATATTAACTGCAAGCGCTTGCACACTATCGTGGCATCAAAGAATACTAATATATATTTTTTCATTCATTTCATTTCATAAAATGTTATTATTACTATGGTTTTTTTTTTATTTTACTTCA